GAGGGCATTTTCTGCTACCTTGTCATGGCCTTCGGCCTGAAGAACTCAGGCGCCACCTACACTCGGATGGTGGGCAGGGTATTTCAAGCTGTTCTGGGGCGCACCATGGAGGCATACGTTGACGATATGATCGTCAAAAGCAAGCAGTCAGCAAACCATGCTGACGACCTGAGGGAGATCTTCGCCATCATGCAGAAGTTTAGCCTTCGGCTAAACCCGAAGAAATGCACCTTCGGCGTCTTGGGGGGAAAATTCTTGGGCTACATGGTTAGCCGAAGGGGTATTGAGGCCAACCCCGAGAAAATCCAGGCCATCATCAACATGGAGCCCCCACGCAACGTGAAGGAGGTCCAACGGTTGACGGGCCGCCTGGCAGCCCTCAACCGCTTCTTATAAAAATCGGCGGAGAAGTCCTTACCCTTCTTCCAGATCATGAGGAAAACCGCCGGTTTCCAATGGACTTCAGAATGTCAGGGGGCATTCGAGGAGCTGAAGAGATACTTATCTTCACCCCCTGTGCTCTCTAAACCCAAGGTAGGGGAAATCCTGTACCTCTACTTGGGTGTTAGCCCGGCTGCCATCAGCTCTGTACTCATCCGGGAAGAGGATGGCATCCAACATGCCATCTTCTATGTTAGCAAGACCCTCAGGGAAGCGGAGCTCCGGTACTCCCCCGTGGAAAAAACGGTGTTGGCTATCGTGTGGACCGTCAAGAAGTTGGGCCATTACTTCCAGGCTCACCCGGTCCAGGTCCTCACTCACCAACCCCTTGGCGCCTTGATGAGGAGCCCCACTAGCTCCTCCCGAATGGTAAAATGGGCTGTCTTCTTGAGCCAATACAACATCGACATCCGTCCTAGGCCCGCCATCAAGGGTCAAGCCCTAGCGGACTTCGTGACGGAGTGCACGGCAAGGGCATCCACGGACGAGGAGCCCTCGGCCCCTTCAGATGACTGGTGGACCCTCTACACCGACGGCTCCTCCGCCACCAAGGCATGCGGAGGAGGGGTAGTGCTCATCTCGCCCGAGGGCTTCCGGGCCTATTATGCAGTCTGTTTCTCCTTCAAAGTCTCCAACAATGAAGCCGAATACGAGGCTCTCCTCTGTGGCCTTCGGCTGGCAGCTAACATGAAGGCCCGACAAATCCACGTCAAATGCGACTCCAAGTTAGTCGTCGGCCAAATCTCCGGGGAGTACGAGGCCAAGGAAGGGAGAATGTAGCAATACAAGGAGGCGGCCAAGGAGTTGCTTAAGGTATTTGAGGCTCACTCTCTTACTCAAATACCGAGGGCTCAAAACTCCGAGGCCGACATTTTATCAAAGCTCTCGGCCGAATCCCCTGAGCACATCTCCAAGATCGCCAAAATAGAAGAACTCAGCCTCTCCAGCATACATGCTAGCCCCGTCATTAACATACAACAAAGACAGGAGGACTGGATCTCAGACATTGTTGCCTTCATCACCACAGGGCGACTGCCCGGGGATGAGGCCCGCGCCAAGCTGGCAAAGATGAGGGCTCCCAGCTACACTATCGAGGACGGGAGGCTTTACAAAAGGTCCTACAACGGGACGTTGCTTCGGTGCCTTCATCAAGATGAAGCCGAAGTGGCTATGGAGGAAGTCCACAGTGGCACTTGCTCAGCTCACCAGGGACCCTTCTCCATGTCCCGAAGGCTGATAATCCAGGGCTACTTCTGGCCTACGATGGCCCGGGATTGTGCGGACCTTGCCCGGAGGTGTCCCGCATGCCAACACTTCCAGAAAGCCCCCGGCAGGCCAGCGGTCAACTATGCCCCCATCAGCACACCCATACCCTTCGCTCGATGGGGCATAGACCTTGTGGGCCCTCTGCCGAGGGGTACCTCCAACAACAGGTACATCATTGTCGCCATCGATTACTTCACCAAATGGGTGGAGGCTGAGCCCCTCGCCAGCATTACTGAGGCCAGGTGCCGTCACTTTGTTCTCAAGAACATCCTCACCAGATTTGGCGTCCCTCAGCAGATCATCTCCGACAATGGGACTCAGTTTGAGGCAGCCCCCTTCTGCGCCCTCCTAGAGGCATGGGGCATCAAACACACCTTCTCATCCGTTGCCTACCCTCAGGGCAACGGACAGGTGGAGAACGCCAACAGAACATTGCTCGAGGGCCTCAAGAAGAAGCTGGAGGCCGAAAGGGGTGGTTGGGTAGAAGAGCTCCACAACATCTTATGGGCCTATCGTACCACCCCTCGGCGGGCAACAGGCGAGACACCCTTCTCCCTTTGTTACGGATTTGAAGCCAAAGCCCCCACTGAGGTAACTCTCCCAACCCGAAGGGTCACACAGTATGATCCGGAGGCCAACGACACCAATATGGCCCTCGATCTCCACCTTATTTCGGAACGACGGGAGCAAGCCTTCATACGCCAAGGTTCGCTCCCGGGAATTCCAAGTGGGGGACTATGTCCTCCGAAGAAGGGAAGCTAGCCAACCAACCGAGGGCGGAAAGATGGCACCAAAATTCGAAGGCCCCTACATCGTGGCAGCCATCATCAAACCAGGAACTTACAAACTAAAACGCCCTAACGGGACCGAAGTCCCTAGGCACTGGAATGTACATCACTTAGTTAAATTTTATCAATAACATCAGAGCGGCCAAGCCCTCATAACTAGTGAATGTATTATTTTACGGCCCAAGGCCTAAAAGAATTCTGAAGAATGAAGGCATTTTGAAGACACCGAAAAACACGGGACAAGATTATCACCAGGGCCAAGCCCTCATACCACCCCCAGGCCCAAGGCCTTCACCACAATAGAAGAACCCTCGGCACCAAGTGCCGAGGGTAGACAGTATTATCACCTACAACAAAATACCAACCCGTCCTCAAAAGAAGACCCCTCGGCACCTGGTGCCGGGGGGTAAACCATCATCAACTCTCAACCAATGAGAGGAAACACCAAGTGTTCCCACAGAAGACCCCTCGGTACCCAATCCCGAGGGTAGGCAAGACAATCACCTTCAACAAATGGGAGGAAACATCGAGTGTTTTCACAGAAGACCCCTCGGTACCAAGTACCAAGGGTAGACACCGCAATCCCCTGCGACAAATGACGGAAAAAACACCAAGTGTTTTTACAGAAGACCCCTCGGTACCAAGTGCCGGGGGCCATACATCGGAACAAACACCAAGTGTTGTTCCTAAGCCGTACCCCTCAAGGACGCCTATACCAAAGGCGCCACCTATCGGTGCCGGCAGCACGTAGTGCACCCGGCCATTTGCAACTAGTGTGCTAATGAAAACCCTTCCCTGAAACGCTTTCCGCGTCATCACCCCAAGGGTATGACAGGCACGAGAAATGCCCAGGATTCGACTTTCAAAAACGGAACGCTTTACGCATCATCACCCCAAGGGTATGACAGGCACGAGAAATGCCCAGGATTCGACTTCCAAACCGAAACGCTCCCCGCGCCACCACCCCAAGGGTGTGGCAGGCCACGGACTATGTCTAGCGCCGAGGGGACGACTTTCAAAACTGAGGCGCTTTCCGCGCCATCCCCCAAGGGGAGGCAGGTTACAGACCACCATATCTTGTGCCCAGGAAACGACCCTCGATCCCCTCGGAACTCGGAAGGTTAACCCGAGGGGGGAGCTAATGGTGTATTCTGTTACCTCCCGATAGGCCAAGCCTTACCAAGAAACCAAGTTTCTTGAAGCCTTCCCTTCACTACTTAAAAAAAAGGGTAGTGAAGGGGGGTAGACTCAGCGAGAAATCAATGAGTACATCACTCCAACAGTTTACAAAAGCATACCGAGGGCTCCCCACGGGAACACCTTCGGCACCTTGGAAGTTCACAAGTACAAAGGATACCGTTCACAACAGACATCATCAACAAATGGCTAAGTTCACTCAAGGATTGCCTCCGGCCATACCTAAAACCGAAGGCACAATGTTCTAAAAAAATCCCCGAAGGGCACCATATGACAAACAACCGAAGGCTTTTATTGCCACAGGCCAACATCACAAGGCAAAGGAAACTATCCTAAACATACAGCGCCTACAACCGAAGGGTCCTCCACCCGAAGGCCAGCAGCAGGAAATACTTAGAAAACGAGCTAAGTCCTAAATGCTTTGCCCCTTGTGGAGCCACCAGCCAGCCGAGGGCATACCACAAACACCTCACAGTCACCCGAGGGCCCCAACTTCACACATACTACACTTAGGAAAATTTCCTAAGTCCTACATATTTTTGCCCTCGGTCAACTCTCCATACTGCCCGAGGGGCCATGCGGTTGAAGACTTGGTGAAGCTATACTTAGAAAATTTTTCTAAGTCCTACATACTTTGACCCTCGGTCAAATCTCCATGCTGACCGAGGGCTCCTACTACATACGTGCTACACTTAGAAAAATTTCTAAGTCCCAAAAGATCTTACCCTCGGTGACAAGTTTCTAAGTCCCGAATCTCCCTGCAACCCGAGGGGTCACACGATTGAAGGCTTGGTGGGACTACACTTAGAAAAATTTTCTAAGTCCTAACTATTGCTGGGCCCTCGGTCATACATCTAGCAAAGGGTGCCCAACTACCGAAGGCTATGACTGTATTCAAACACTTAGAAGAATTCTCTAAGTCCTAAGCACCTCACCTCCGGCCATCGCACGAAGGCTACACGGAACCAGAAGGGAGGATCAGCCGGGGGCCAACAGATGAACAAACACTTAGAAATATTTCTAAGTCCTGAACATTGTGACCTCGGTAAAACGTTAAAGTAACTAAAGGTTACTAGTAGCCGAGGGCTACAAGAAGCACCGCACTTGGAAGAAAATATTCTAAGTCCTAAACATACATTCAAAGAAGGGCGAGGGCATACATCCAGGAAAGCGAAGGCATACATTCAAAAAAGGCCGAAGACATACATTCAGAAGGAAACGACGGCATACATTCGAGAATAAACAAATTAAAAGGAAACATGTTATATAGACAAAGCCCGAAGGCAATCATTCATTCGTCAAAAGGAAGGGATTCAAATGTATATGTTACAACATGGCCGAAGCCGAAAGTACACAAACATTACAAACAAATAAATGTTCAAGCAACTATTCAACTACAGGTATCTTCTTCAAGCTGCTGCCCCCTCGGCGGGCTTCGAGGTGACCTCCTCCTCGATGGCGTCCTCGGTCTCACCATCGCCGGATCTCCCCATCATCATGGAGTCATGGATCACTGGCCTCTCTTCGCTCGGGGGGAGGGGGTTCTCACATCCGGCTGCAAGGCAGGAAGGCCATAAGCCGAGGGGTCGAATTCCTCGAGAGGGACCTTGAAGTGCCTGGCGAGCCTCCGGTACACCAGATGCTGGGTGAAGAACTCGCCCCCTGATAATAGCTGTCCCCTCTTTCGGCCATCCAATCGGCTCCGGGGCCTTTCACCCAGTCATCAACCGAAGACTCCACCATCGAGGCCACCCATTGCCGCCTGTCTTCGGTCTTCCAGCCCTCGGCCACGAAGGCGGCAACAGCTTCTTTCCGGGCTTTGGCGACGGCCTCGGCTTTAGCAATCTCCGCCACCTCGGCAGCTTTCTTGGCTGCCCTCTCAGCCTCACACCTGGCTTCCTCCGCTGCAGCTTTGCCCTCGGCAGCCTTCCGGAGATCTTCCTCCAGCATTGCCATCTGCTTCACGGCCTCGGAGTTCTTCAGGACGAGCTCCTTCATCTCCCGGTCCTGCTCCGCCTTCCGGAGGCGCCATTGCTCAAGCCTCCGTGCATGCTCCCCGAGGGCTACGCAAGCCTGAAAAACAACAGGAGGAGGGATCAGATTAACATAAAAATAACATTGAAAGTTAAACGCAAAACCTAAGGGAGCAAACTTACAGTTAATGAAGACTGGAGGATCCTGTTCTCGAGGGCCTCGTCATCATAGGTGGAGAGGGCAGCCTTGTCCATCACTGAGGTCATCCCCCTCAGGAAAGCTTTCGGCTCCGCCGAGCCATGTAGAACAGAAGCCCCCGGGGCCAGAGAGAGCTGCAGGATCTCCCGAGGGGGGTTTCTCAAGGGAGGATTGATTTGGGCCGTCACCGCAGCATCAACCGGGGGGTCCGGAGAGGGGCGATCCTCGATGATCACCAAGGGGGCATCCTGGGCGACAGTGCCCCGCTGCTTCTTGGTCGGGGGCTCAACCACCTTGCCCCCCTTCTTCTTCTTTGTGGCCCCCTCCGCCACACCAACGACCCCCTCCGCAGCAGAGGGCTCCGGGGCCTCTTTTTGGAAGAAGGCTCCCACGGGCGGTTGGACCGAAGGGTCCTTCTTTTGGGCTTGAGACTTGCCCTTCTTCTTCAGGGCGAAGAGTTTGCCGGCATCCATGTTAACTCCTGCAAACACAAACAAAAGGGTTAGACAGAAGGAGAAAAGAGCAAAAGAAAGGAAAGGGGGAAAAATCCTAAGTACAAAAAGAAAAAACAGAGGGGAAGCCCTCGGAGACTACCTCCTGTCAGCACAGGATACTTCTCGTCTGTTTCGCCAAGGAAGCGATATCTGCGGAAGCTGAGGGCAAAAAGCTCCTTGTCAGCAGTGAAATCCTTGATGGACACTTGCTTCGTGCGGCCCGCCGGAATCTTGGCTATTGTCGAGCCATCCTTCTCCAAAGCAGCACTTCCGACCTTCGGATGCCGACGGAAGCGATCCCTAAGCTCCATCGAGAAAGGGCTCTCGGCAATCCTGACATAGCACCACCTCTCCTTCCAGCCTTTGTGTTGGTCCCGTTTGTAATGGGAACAGTCTAGAGGGGGGGTGAATAGACTGTTCAAGAATTTAAACTTTTCTCTAAGTCAAAACTGACTTATCAGAGATGGTCGAAATCTGGTGACAGAGAAGGTCGAGTTCTGATGACAGAACTGGACCTGGCAGCGGATTAGGTTCTGTCCGGGTAGCCTCAGACAACACTAAGGCAAATGCCTTTCTGATAACTCTTTAAGGGAGATCTGCTGAACACAGAGTCCAACCTATTGAGTCAAGCAGTTTAAGTTCCTAAGTGCAGAGATAAAATAAGTAAGTAAGTGACACCGGGGATTTTTATAGTGGTTCAAGGAACAACTTTTTCCTCTAGTCCACTGTTCCACTAAGCTTGCAAAAACAACAGTTTACAACGCCTTAGTCCCTAGAACTTAAGAAGCACTCCTCGTCTTCTTCAAGTCTAGTTGTCACCCGGGATGCAGTCCTGCTTCCTGATGGCTGGTCTCGTTTCACTGAGTCTCTTGAAGTATCCCCACTTCACTTACTCCAGCTAGTTTGAGACGTCCCTTCTTTTTCAAGAAGTGTTTGATTCAAAATCAGTTTTCTCCAACGTTGCTTTTTCACAAAGGATGAGTAGATGAAGTTTTCGAAGTGTTGAAGAACTGAGGAACTTTGCAACTTGCTAGTTGGATGAGGGATTAGAAAATATATCTTCCAACTGTAGCCTTTTCTTGTTAAGAATGAAGTTTGAATCTCATTTAGAGTAGAATGATCTGAGCAAGTTCGTCTGGCAGATGTTGTAGCAAAGTTTTTCTCGTAGTTCTTCAGAGTGTATCTTATATACTGGGAGCAGTCTTCCCGTTGGAGTGTAGAAGACAGCTTCATTAAATGCTTGTACTGTTGACTTGACCGGTTGGACCTTCGACTTGCTATTTTGGGGGCGTGAAGATACTCGCATGGTCAATCATCAGCTTTAAATATCTCTTCGTACGTACAGCATTAAATGTGCATTTAATGTGTGTACAGTACCATGTTTCCGTTGAAAGGTTCGTAACCGTTAGGGGATTTCCCGTTAGTTTAACGACCGTTGGTAAGTGCTTTCGGAATCTGGTGTGTTTGACAAAGTCTTATGAGGCTCTCTGGTTCAATCTTTGAAGTCCGCCTCTGTTGCCAACTCTGGTACCAACACTGATGACCAGTTCTAATGGCTTCTCTGGTGAGCAACTCTGGGAGCAACTCTGGTAGAAGCAAGGTGGATCTCTGGCATGTAGACTAAGCTAAAACTTACAAAAGAAATTTTAATACAAAATTTCTAAAGGGGTACTTTCAAATTCTAATTAACCTAGCATCATCAAAATCTAAATACATTTATTCCTTACAATTTCCCCCTTTTTGATGATGCCAAAACCCTTTAACTATTTCCAGAGAAGTGCCTTTCACCATAAAGAAGTTTGAAACTTTTCATTAAAATCTTGGTGGGCAACTTAGCATAAAACCCTTTGACTATTTCCAGAGAATAGTAAGAGTACGATACAATCAGATAGCAATTAAAGCAAATAAGGTAACAGAATAAACACAAAGAAGGTGAATAAGAATAGACATTTGAGTAAGCCATGCAAAAAGAGGCAGAGTTGGTATCTTATTTATCAGAGAGAAAAAGTTACAGAGACAGAGATAGAGAATTAGAGATCTTCTTCATCTACCTGTGGTCCTGCTCTGTCAATCCTTTCGAGTTCTGCATTGACCTTAGCTCTGATTGAGGCTAGATCCCTCAGATTCTGATAGTCAGCCCAATGAGGTGCAAGTTTGCAGTCCAAGTAATTTCTGACAGCTTCTGCAGTGTTCTTGCCAGTGAGAACCTTCATCCCGTACCAGATTTATGCTTCTTGGATAGAACCACCATGGTTGATCTGGACAAGTCCATCACTATCCATGAACAGATTCTCTCGTTGAAGGGGAGTCATCAGCTTCCTCATTTGTTCAAACTGAACTCTGTCTGGCCTTGACAGACCGCTCTTCATCCAATCATTGAATGAAAATGATGAGATCTTTTTCTTTGAGCTTCTTGGAGGAGGAGGAGGAGGTCTGGTAACAACAACAGCTAGTTTCTTCTTTCTGGTTGCATCAAAGTATGGAGCAGGATCAACAGTAGAGGAGGGTTCTCTGATATATAAGGCTCTAGTATTAGGTCCTTCCTCTTTTCTGGTATCTTCCCCCTTTTTGGCATCAACAAGATCGCCAAGGAGGAGCTCAATCTTTGAGAACTCAGAGGCTTGGGCATCTCTGATCTCATCAAGAGTCTCTGGCAGAGTCTGAGTGACAGAGGCAAGTCCTTCAATCAGGCTCTGTTGCTTGTCGACTGCAGATTGGAGATCCCTAGTGCTGACTTCTAGAAGAACCATCTTCTGGTATCGTTCCTTATCAGACTTGATGAGAGCTAGGCCTTGCTCTTGATGCTCCTTGCAGAGGGAGTGTAAGACTGTGAGCTTCTGAGATGAACTATCAGCAGATTTTTGAAGAGTATTAACAGAGTCTGAGATCTGCTTGACTGTCTGGTGCTGGGCAAGTAGAGCTTGAGAGTGAGAGTGGAGAACTGAGTTGATGCCACTGACATCTCTGGAGACAGAGTCTATTCTCAATGTAGATGAATGCATGAAATTGTGCAGAGTTTCTGACAGTGCAGCAACCTTGTATGTCAAATGCTGGAATCCGATTGTGATTTGAAGGTTGGTATGGGTTAGCTCTTCATGATGCCTGTCGTTCAGCTCAATGATCTTGCTCAGATCATGAACTAACAGACCACCAAATTCTTCTGCATATTTCACAAACTGGTTGAAAGGAATCTGGGGTTCTTCAGGTGTAAATCCTGGCATCTCCAATCCTCTGCTCTTGGGAAATGGAGGAACTCTGGTGGATGGTGTAGGGGAAGGAACTCTTGGGGGTGTCCTCCTTTTAGATGTTTCATCAGCCGCAATGGAGGAGGTGAGGAATCCATCATTGTCACTTTCTGAAGAGAGGACTCTGAAGACTGGTTTCTTCTTGGGTGTAGAGGCTACAGAGTGGTGGGATGATCTCTGTGGTGAGGCAGTTCTGAAGGGTGATAAGGATTTCTGATGAGGTGAACTCTGGGGAAATGGGATTATTGATTGAGGAATAGGTTGGTGTGAGGGGGATGGTGGGGGTAAAGGTGATCGATTTCTGGTGTTTGAGGGTTGTTTGCAAGGTGATGAGGGTCTGGATTTTGGTTTCTGGTGAGATGGAGTTCTGGTGGGAGAGGGTGTAGGAGAGGAGGTTTTCTGAGGGGATTGGGTTGAAGGTTTAGAAGGTGATTTGGAAGGTGATGGTTGAGTAACAGGAGATTTGGGAGGGGAAGGAGGAGGTGTAGGGATTACCTCAAGAACAATCTCTGAGAATATGGATTCTCTCCATTCCTTGATCAGCTTTTCCATGGTTAGAGCAATATCATTTGCTGTGGAGGGTTCTCCTTCCTCATGGGCACTGTGACGAAACTTGATGAGAGATTCTTTTCTCTTTTTCTCCATTAGCCACGCATCAAATTCTTCCATCTCATCCTCTTCCAAAGCTTTGACATGCCTTTCAGGAGACAGGGCAGTTGTTGGAGCTTTACCTTGATATTTTTCTTTCTTTTTCTGTAGAACAGAGATGAGAAAAGCAAGGTTGAAGCACTGTGACACATCTTCTGTGCCTACCCAGTGAAGAACTGCAGCTTCTTCTTCCTCATAAGCATCAAAAAACTGAATTATTTTCTGGAGTGGTCCCATTCTCCATCTTCTCCATGCTAAGACTCTATCAAACTGCTTCTGCAGAATGATGTTGTAGTCAGTCTCTGGTTTCTTCTTTGGTGAGGCTTCTCGTTCTGGTGAGAGAGCAGAACTTGGCAACTCTGATGCAGATTCTTGTTCAGCCTCAGGTTGAGTTTCAGATTCTGGTTCAAGTTCCCCCTGAACTTCTGATCCCTTGGCAGGTGAAATTTCCTTTGTCTTTCTCTTCTTCTGTTTTGGTTGAGGGCTAGAGTTGTCAGATTCATCACTCTGTACAACTGGCTTTCTTCTTCTCTTCTGCTTTTGCTTCTTGGCAGGAGATTTTCTGGTGGCTTTTGGGGAGGGCAGCTCTGATGCAACCTCATCTGTTGCATCCTTTTCTGGTATTGACATTTTGTCAATCTTCTTCTTCTTTTTAACTTCCCTTGCAACCTGCGTCTGCTTAGGTTGTTTTGAAGTCTCAATGAGTTTCTTGGAAGTTTTCTTAGGAGCAGGTTTAGGCTTAGCAGCCTGTTCCTCTCTCTTCTTCTCTGGCCTTTCCTCTCTTTTTAGTTCAGCAGAAATGGCTATGTTGAATTTAGGAGAGGCTGTGAGGAAGATCGTTTTGGAGTGATCAACTGGGAGGGTATCCCTGAGTTGAACTCCTTGGGCAGCAAGGATGGCAGAAATGAGAAGTCCATGTCCCATCTTGGTGGAAAATAGACCTGTTTCTGAGTCTTTCTTCTTAATAAATTCAGTCAAGGAGCCAAAGATTACCTCGCCCCAATTGATGTTCATGCCATGGTGAACTGCAAAAATCGCCTTGGCATTGTTCTTGTTCATTTCGTCAGTTGAAGCAGTTTTACACCACAAGCACCGGTGCAGGATGCTGACAAGTTTTTCATAGTCCTTCTTCAGTAAGAACTTTTTCATATACAGCTTGTCCAGTCCGGCAGCCTCCGGACGGCAATAGGTCTGTACAAATCCTTCAGTGGAGATTTCCACTGAATCAAGAGTAAGAAGATTGTGGGTTTCCGGGTCTTGGGAGTCCAGTTGTACTCCAAAGAATTCGTTTAGAGCATCTGCATTTAGAGAAATTCGTTGACCCTGCACCTGGGAGTGAATGCCAGTCTTTGAGATGGTGGCGTTGAGGTAGAACTCAGCCACATCCTTGATCCTGAAATGCTGGTAGGGATGAGCAACAACCTTTGAGAGTTGTGAGTCTGTCATCCCC